TGCTCATCTATTTAAAGAAATTTCTAAGACAACTTGCCAACAATCTGGAAGAGATACATATTTGTGCCCATTCCAAAGAATAGTGATCCAAAAGAACGCAGAAATTACCAAATGGTATCATTAATACCACATGTAAATTTTGCTGAAGATTACTAATTCCAAATCAGTTGTAGCAGTACTTAAGACGGTAAAATATTCAAGCTGGAACCAGAACTGTGCTAAAACCAGAGTTCTCTTTCTCACTCCACCACTCCCTATTAATTTCCCCGCAAGGGATTGAGCTGAGGTGACTGTAGTTAAGTGAAACAATATACACACAGAGGCAATTTAGCAAAACAAGTGAAAAAGATTTACGAAGACAATAAAACATAGGCATAGCTGTGCAAAAGAGCTAAAGGGAAAAAGAAAGAAAAAAGGGAGGAAAGGATCCCTTGAAATTAAACCACACTGTCAGCAGAAAAGCAGAGAAGAGAGAGCAACCCCAACCAAGTAAGCATTACCTTTACTAACTCCCAGACTCGCGAGACTTGATCACAGTCCACCCCCCACTTAAGAGACTTTGTGGGACTGGCTGGCATGCAGGCTACTTCCTGGTGTAACCACCTCTAGGCTCCTGCCAGAAGTACTATTACACTGGCACAAGTGGTTAGGTATACTTTCCCTTCCCATTCACTGGGGGATTCTGCCAACTCACTGTTTTTTTTTCTTTTCTACTAGTTTATTTACAAAATTCCAATACAAATTCGAACAAATTCTTCCAATTTCCCTTACCCCCTCCACCCATGAAAATGTACAACCCAATGATTAATCACCCCTCCCCCTGCACATCCATGTCTGCTTCCAGCCTCTCCCACCCCTCTTGGATCCTTATACTCATTCTACAGTAATGGTTTTATACAATATTTATCCTTGTGGGATTGAGTTAGTTCACTCAGCATAATGTTCTCCAGTCCCTCCCAAGTTAGGTAATAATTTACAAAATCATTGCTCCTACCAGTCCTCTTCTATGAGAGTGAGAGAGACCAGGTAGCAATTCTAGTTCGCATCACAGAAGAGAAAGTAGAATCAGGGATCTCAATGTTCGTGTCAGAGATCATTGTGTAAAAAATACTGGAAAAAAAGTTTACCTGAGTTTTACTGAGTACACAGATTTGACGGTGTGGATAACAAATTATGGATAATATTGGGAAGAATGGAAATTCTAAAGCACTTTATTGTGCTCTTGAAAAACCTGTACATAGAGGCAGTCATTTGAAAACACCCTGGAGATAGGGGAGATTTAAAAACATGAAAGGTCTATTGTATCCTTTAACCATAGTTATTCAATTGGTATGATGAACAAATCATGCAAGAATATGGATCATATGAAGGGGAATGTCCCATCAAGATTGGATTTGCATGTGATATTAATGATATGGTTCAGTAATTTCTGCATTCTTTCGGAACACCTTTCTTTGGAATGAGCAAAATGATGGATCTCTTCCAGATTGTTGACCAGTTGTCTTAGAAATTTCTTTATATAGATGAATGCGCACTTCTAGCTGCATCTGTTCAATGAAACATCTCAAATGGTCTTGTTTTTTTTTCTGGAAGTCTTCTATTTCTCATTAACAATCTGCAGTATGCAGAAAACACAACTTTGCTTTTGAAACTGAAGAGAACGTCAAGTGCTTACTGATGAAGATCAATGACTATAGGCTTCAATATGAATTATACTTCAACATAAAGAAAGCAAAATCTTCACAAATAGATCAATAAGCAACATTTTAACATAGAAAAGACTGAGGTCAGCAACTGCATTATACTTGGATCCACATCAATGCCTATAGAAGCAGCAATCAAGAAATCAAAGAACCTATTGCAATAGGCAAATCTGTTGCAAAAGATTAAAGTGTAAAAAAAAACTAAGATGTCACTTAGAAGACTAGGATGGACCTCACGCAATCCATGGTGTTTTTCATAGCCTCATATGCATGAGAGGGTTGGACAAAAAGTACAAAGACTAAAGAAGAATTGATACCTTTTATTATGGCTTGATAAATCGGACAATGGGAGTAGGTGTGTCGGAATCAGTGAGACTGGCTCAGGACAAGGCAGGCTTCAGAGTTGCTGTACATAGGGTTGCTATGAGTCATGGGTGGCTTAATGTAATTAACAACAAACAGATCATATACTATGATTGTCTTGAAGAAGAAATACCAGAATGCTCTATACAAGCAAAGATCCTGTTAAGTTATCTGAAGAGACTAGTCCCTGAAAGAGGCCATCAGCAAAAAAGAAGACTCTCAATGAAATGGATTGACAGTGGCTACAAGGAGCTCAAATACAATTGTGAGAATGGTGTAAAACTGGACAGTGTTTCATACTGTTAGTACAAAGGGTCACTAGGAGTGGGAAGGAACTAGGTGACAACAGCTCCACCATTTTCTCTCATTTTTCTGTGAGGCCAAAGCTCCCAGAATTTTAATAATGAAAGCATTCTCCAAGTTCAGCTTCTCTGGACAGACGTATATCTAAGTATAAACAGGTAAGTGTTCTGGGTGCCCCCTGAGTGAAGGCACCAACGAGTTTATCTCCGCTGCCGTTTCCATCGAAAGCTGTGAGAGATCATTCAGCAATTTAAAACTAATTGCCATAGGTGTTATTTTCCAAAGGCATGCTGCTGCGTCTGGGCTCAACTCAATGATCTCATATTCCTCTGGAAATAAGACTAACAGTCAAAAACTCATTGTGTGGGTTTGACATTGTTTTTAACTGCAGTGGGAAACAGCAGGGGAAATGGATTGTAAAAGCTTAAGCAATTGTTGTGCTCCCTGAGTTCTAATCAAGAATAAAAGTTACCCAAAGACAATTGAGACAAACTGCACGAAAGGAAATGGATTGTTTGAACCTTGTTACACTCTTTTTACCTTTTCTGCAAGTCAGCTGGATTCCTGATGTAGAATAATATCACATCAAAACAGCAACAATAAGTTCCCCTCAATTGAAAAATTTTTTAAAAACTTAAAAAACTCAACTTTGCCTAAAATCATACTGTTCAATAATAAGTGAAAGGAGGGAAATAATTTTTAAAGGAGTAGAGCACTTTTGTTCCAGTACATTTTTATTTTGACAAGGGAATTTTAGCTCTTATTCCTCTTAGAACAAAGAAATGCCTCACTGAATGTTTTTCAAAGCACTGATTTTCCCTTGTAAGTTTTGTGCTGTGTTGTCACATTGACACTCCAACTCTAGGAATAAATCATCCTGTCTTTTCACCAAGGAATGAAAACTAAATAAAGATACAAAGAGATGTGAATTCTATTCCGCTGCAAATCAGAAGTGATACCAAAACATTAAACTAAAGGTTAATAAAAGGTTATCATACTAATCTTAACTGTTTGCTCCTTGAACTTTCACTACTGGATTAAATTTCTCTAGTCAGACAGGTAGTCTGTCACCACTGGCAGCTATTGCTAATCACTTTTGTAAATTTGTATTTAAACCCTGAAGAGTATGGAATGTCCCGTGGACTGCCAAAAGAACAAACAAGTCTGTCATAGAGTAAGTGCAGTTAGGGTGCTCTTTGGAGGCAAAAATGGTGAAGTTCATCTCACATACTTTGGGCATTTTGTCAGAAGAGACCAGTTCTTGGAAAAAGGCATCATGCTGGGAAAGGTGGAAAGTCAGAGAAAGAGAACAAGACTTTCAATAAGATGAATTGACACAGACATTATAGCATGGGGTTGCTAGGAGTTGTAGCAGGTTTCACACACATAACAACAATCTACAGCACAACGTGAGCCCTAGTAAGCAAAGCTTGTAGGGAGTTGAGCTAACTCAAAAGTAGCGCCTCTGCAGTATCGGTTCGAGCACCACAAGAGACACTGTGGGAGAAAGACAAGCAATCTCCTCCCATGCGATTTACAGACTCCTGAAACCCAGCTGAAGGGTTAGCTAGGAGTCAGATCCCACCAAGTGTGGGTCAATCTAAAGGACGAAGAGACAGATCTTAGAGAAAGTGCAGCCAGAGTGCTCACTGGAAGCAAGGATGGTGAAGTCATGTCTCTCATACTCTGCGCATTTGTAAGGAGAGATTATTTCTTGGAAAGGGGTATCTATGCTTGGACGGTCAGTGAAAGAGAGGAAGAACACCCTCCCCAAGGAGATGGCGATGAACTGACACAGTGACTGCAGCAAAATGCTTAAGCATATATCGGAGATGAGGAGGATGGCACAGGACAGGGCTGGTTTCAGGTCTGTTGTTCAGAGGGCCGCTATGGAGTCGTACTCCACTGGAAGGCACCTAACAAAAACAAGGCACAGAGCCCCAGTAGCACAGTGAATAAGGCGTTGGGCTACCAACTAAAATGCCAGCAGCCGCTCGGAACAGAAAGACGTGTCAGTCTGCTTCTGCAAAGACTTACGGACTTGGAAACCCTAAGGCAGTTCTACTCTGTCCTACAAGGTCTTTATGCGTGGGTACAAACTCCACCATAGCAGTGGGTGGGGTGGATCTAAAGTACAGGGTTTAGGGGCGACAAGTGTGATTCAAATGAAGGCTTAATTACTGTCACTTTTTCTCAGCATCCGATTAGACCTTTTACCCTCTATTAGCTGAGGGTTGTGGCTCAGTATTGGTTACCTGGAGAGGTTTCCCAAACTCACAGACGTAACTTAACATCTCAACAAGCTGTAGATAATTTTAGGGTTGAGCTGAGTTCTTCCAAGACCCTAGCTCATAGCTTTCTGCCTGGGATCGGGATGCGCTAAGAGTCACTACAGACTTCAGGGTACGCTAGGTCCAGCCCCTTCTCCCCAAACACCCTGGAAAGACAAGGAGGAGCCACAGCTCCGGCCCCGCCAGCCAATACTAAATGGCTGATGAGCAGCGGAGGCGGAGTCAGCGTGAAATCAAGCGGCGGGGCGGGGCCTCTCCCTGGACGGGGGCGGAGTCACCGTTTAAGCCACGTCTATTGCCGAGAGTTCAGGTCCTGGGCTTGTCGTTTCATTTTTCTCACCTGAGCGTGGCTGAGTTGGGTTTGGGGGCTCGCACGCCTTGCCTTCCACACCCAGAACCGCCTTAGCCAGCCCGAGGCTGCTTCCGCCTTCTCCGAAGTTTGTGTGCTCTGGTTTGAGTTGCTGGGTCCAGCTGCCAGTTCAGCCCGTTTTCGGGCCGCCCGGAACTCTGCTAACCGCTGTTCCATGGCGCACACCCCTGGTTCCCGCGTACCCGGGAGCGCGCGCGCCCGGGCCGGCGAAACACCTTTCTTCCGCTTTGTCCAGCGCTGGGCCGTGATGCGCTTGCGTGGAGCTGGCTTGCTGTGCGCGTGCGCGCTGTCCTGCTCCCTCCACCTGCCTTTTACTGTTTTATGTGATTGTGACGCCTGTATGTATTCGTGCCCATGATTGTTTTGACAAACGCACTTGGGCACTGCACCCACCTCCCCATGCTATAATTAAAAATAAAATCAAGACTGCCCCATTGTTCCGCAGTCACAAAAGCTCCAAAGGGCAACATTTGTCTAGAGATAAAGTTCAGAAAATAGGACAGGATTAGGAAGAGAATCCGAAACGGCAAACACAAGAGTGAGTGAAAAGTGTTGTCACCGTGCAAGGATGGTAATCATTGTTAGGAAACATAATGAGTTTGACGAATGGAAACCCGATTTGCTCTCTAAACTTTAACTCAAATAACAATAAAGTTTTCAAAAATAGTGAAAATAAACAAGACTGTCACATTGTTTTTCTGATCCCATTGAAGAAAACTTGTACTGAGGGCTCTGGTACCCATTGTTAAGTATTCTAGCTGTAGAAGGCATATGTTGGACAAGTATGGGTAACAAAGAGGGAAGGCGTGTGGAAGAAAGCTTATTATTAGGGTGTGGAAGAAAGCTTATTATCACGTAGATGTTCAGGTGTTAAAAGGGAGTGGCCCTAATTTCCTCTTAATCAGGGTTTACGAGCTGCAGGTACTGAAAGAGCAGCATTCCCACAGCATACACCACGCTGAAAACTGCCAGTTGAGCTCTGGTGTATGGCAGTGTCTCTCACATAATTGGAACTCAGATTTCATTAGTCTTGGGGAGTTTGCGTCAATGATTACAAGATGGAATGTAAGCTTTCATTTAACAAATATTTATCAAGTATTAGTGTGTATAAAATATTGTCCTAGATTCTAGTGATGTCGTAATGAATAAAACAAAAGACCATTAGGTTTTTGAGTTTACATCCTAAGGGAGAAACTGACAATATGGAAATACATGCCTAGATGTTTAATATAACTTCAGACTTTGAGTGAGCTTTGGTGGCCTAGTGTTAAGAAGCTGTTTGAGTCCACCAGTTTCTCTGTGGGAGAAAGATGGGCAAAGATTAACTGCCCCTGAAAACCCACCAGAGAGAGGGTCAACTATGAGTTGGATACAACTCAATGGTACACAACAACAACATGAAGAAAAACAAGGTAAGGATAAAAGTGGTGGAGCTACTTAGAACTAACGTAATTCTGTATTAACAAGGAAGAGAGGAGGGCGTAGTGAACATGGTTTCTTGGTTGATAATATTTTTCGTGTGTGTGTGTGTGTGTGTGTGTGTGTGTGTGTGTGTGTGTGTGTGTGTACCATCAAATTGGATCTGACTGGTACAGGAGGAGATTGCCCCTCCTCCTCCAGCAGAGCATCTGGTGAATTCGAACCGCGTACCTCTGGGATTGCGGTGCAGCTTCTTGCAAAGAGGGTTGAAATGTTTTTCAATGAGCAATTTTAATACCTTATCCTATTGCCTTCTGGCATCCATTGTTTCATTGAGAAATCAGCTATTAATCTTATTGGGATTCCCTAGAACATGTGGCATGACATTCCCTTTGAGTCAGTTTCAATTCATAGTGACAGAGTGGAACAGTCCCACGGACTATAAATCTTTAGGGATGCAGACTACGCCGTCTTTATCCCATGGGACATCTAGTGGTTTTGAACTGCACCATCATGGATCTTCTCGTATTAAACAGAAACTGACTAACCACTTGTCAGGGATGTTTCAGAAGAGATTTCAAAATTTAAGAGGGATGATTACTAAGTCCCTTTCAGCTGGAGAACTTGTTTCTGTCGAAGAAGGGGAAAGTTGAAGGGGAGAAAGAAACACACTTTAGGTATTTATTAGGCTTAGAAGGTGTAGCAGAGAATATGAATCCTCTATTTCCTCTCAGATCTTGATGTTGCTGTTCCGTCAGAGGATTTGTTTTGTGGAGAACCTGAGGACTTTCTCTAGTCGTAGGTATGTATTTAACCAGTGTGTGAGGTGGGTTAGTATTGCTGGGGAATTAACTTCCCCAGAATTAGCTTTCAGAGTTGATTTTGGATAGGAATTGGTAACTAAAAACTCCAGTTCCCATTCTGCTTGTGGGGAATGACACTGAAGTGTCTCTCCCTGGAGTTCTTCACCAGGACTGAACATTTTGCTTACAGAAGTGCCTTCTCATGAATACACAATACATCACCTTTCATCCCCAAATTCAACTGGACTTCAGCCATTAGTGTCAAATGCATCAAATCTTAAGATGGTCTCCAAATTTAAAGTGAATGTACTCAAGGTTGTATTTTGGCTCTTGTGCACTTGTTTTAATCTATTTTTTCAGCTTCAGTTTGAGCTTGTATATGAGCAAGTTATGGTCCATTCCATATATAGCCTCTGGCTTTGTTCTGACTGATGATATTGAACTTTGCTACCATCTCTTTCCATAGATGTGGTCAACCTGATTCCTGTGCATCCCATCAGACACGGTCCATGTTAATAGTTTCTTTTTTTTTTTTTACTGTATCAAACATTTGCAGTGACTAAGTCTTGATCATACAAAATTCTATCACATGCCCTCTGGCTGCATTCCTGTCACCAAAGCATGAAACTATCTGTATTTTCCACTACCTTTCCTTCTCTTTTGTTTCTAACTTTTGCATTCCAAAAGGACACCATGCTTGTAAAGTGGTGGAGTGAGGGAGAGAAAAACCCTCAATGAAATAGATTGACACAATGACTGCAGCAATAGGTGAAGCACAGTGGAAATTGTGAGGACAGCACTGGGTCAGGCAGGGTTTCCTTCCCTTGTGCAAGGAATTGCTATGAGTTAGAGCTGACTCAATGACCCCTAACAACAATAACAACATAATCACCTTTCTTCACTTTCCCCTCTCATTTCCTTGCACCCCTTTAAGTACTTCCTGGAATCATGTCATAAACCTTGCATTAAAAACCTTTGTCTTGGGATCTGTTTCCAAGAGAATGTAAGATAAAACTTGGATTGGAAAAGGCCTGCAGGGCCTGCTCTGTTCTTTCTAATGGAAATCAAAGTGAAATAGAAGGCTGGTTGGTAGTTCACATTTAATAAGACACCAATCTTGAAGTGCAAGGAGCTCTGGTTGCCTAGTGGTAAGGAGTTATGCTGCCAACCCAAAAGTATGCAGTTCGAATCCACCAGGTGTTCCACAGAAGGATGGGCAATCTACTCCCATGCTATTTAGAGCCCCTGAATATCCATTGGAGGGTCTCCTGTGAGGTGGTTCTGACTCAATGCTGGGTAACAGCAACAAAAATTGAAGTTTGTCTCATGGGAATCTTAGGAGTATAATTGGGCTGTTGACCAAAAGGTGATGCAAAATTGAAATAGACTGAATGGCGGTGGGTTTGTTTGTTCTTTTGTGTTTATATCTTGAAGTTAGGTAAAATGGGGCTTTATACTGGAAATGTGAAAGAAGAAGCTAAAGAATGAGAAAAGAAGGGAGAGAAGGACTATGATGCTTGACCTAAGACAGCCTGTTCTCCTTCTGGGAAGGTGATTTGCCTGTACTTTATGGTGAGCTCTAGAGAGAACTTTAGAGACCATTCAATCAGTAAAGGTTGATTGAACATCTGCTATATGCCAGGTTCTGTCCAGGCTGTGAGAATATAGAGATGAATAAAATACAGTCCTAGTCCTTAGAGATGTAAGACCTATTTGAGGAGGTAGGCTCATTAATATTAATAGACAATTACAAAGCAGAGGAAGAAAACCAAATGGCATAATAACTAAGTGCTTGGCTGCTAATCAAAAGGTAGGTGGTTCGAACTCACACAGTGGCTCTGCAGAAGAAAGACCTAGTAATATGCCCTTATTCTTTAAAAAAAAAGCCTAGAAAATACTATGGGTCACTGCTACTCTGTCATATAGCCAAAATGGACTCTAAAGTACCTAATAACCACACAGATATCTGAGGGCACAGAGTGGGCTCAATCTGGGGAGCCTTCTGATTTCTTCAGATTTAATAATGATGAAACTGAGTCCCAAAGAAGAAAAGCTTTACAAGGTTATGTAATTCCTGAACATGGCTATAGACAACAAACATTTCTGGTGATCGTTTTAGTCTTTCCAATAATATTTTGTATTTGCATTGGAAGCTATTGCTTCATACTCTCTTTTCCCATCTGCTCTTAGTTTGGTGCTCACATGGCTTTTTTCTGACAGTTCTGGCTGATTCATACTTTGCCTTTTCATGTTCTCCCAGCTGTTAAGGGTTTTTAGTTCTAAGAATCCAACAAAGTCTGCTGTTTTTCTTCCCATCAGCTCTGCCCTATCACTGACATCTCAGTGCCTTATTCTGAGACACCCTAACTCCTGGTAGCACCCAGAAGCTCATGTGGTGATAAGTTTTCTACCACTCTACTTCCATAACTTCGATTTGTTAAACTCAACTTTGATGCCCGAGGGAATGTATCCTGAATCTTATGGGACAAATAATGGAACAACATCTACAGAGTTAACAGTGAAAAATAATCTGTGTGTGAGTCATATCCCAGAAACTCTCCTTAAAATAATCTGGAAAAAATATTTAGAAGAAAAAAAAATCTCCTTGCAAGTTGTTGTTGTTGTTATGTGTCATCAAGTCACTTGAGGCTCATAGCAACCCTATGTACAATAGCCCTAAATCCTGCTCTATCCCTTGCCAATCTTATTGTCTCTGATATGCCTATCCCCATTACCCCACTGACTGAATCAATCCATCTCATTGATGGTCTTCCTCTTCTGCGCTGTCCGTCCACCCTCCCAAACATGATGTCCCTCTCTGAGGAGTGATCCCACCTTGCAACATGTCCAAAGTATGTCAGATGAAGTTTCAGAATCCTTGCCTCCAAGCAGCAGCATGGCTTCACCCTCTCCAGGACGAACTTATTTGTTCTC